CCAGCAAAACATCCACGAAACAAAGAAAGGTCTGTCACAGCCAAAAAATACACTCCAGACACGCCGCTGGCACTAGAGGCACAGCATGGCCGCCTAGTTACGGCCCCGGCCACTGCCGCTCGACCTGACCGGAAAAAAACGTATATATGTATTTTTTTGCTCGACTTTTTCGCATGCACACTGTTCTCTTCCTGTGCAGCAGATTTTGGTGCGGCATTGGACCCCCAGCTTCAAGCCGATGGTGGGAAGCCTTGGAAATTGACATCTGGAGACCCAACCCCAATCCTTCAAGACCCCATGATGCAAATGGGAATGGGGGCTCTGCAGCAAACGCCACCCGTCGGTACTGTAGCGGAGACAACAATGGGATTCCAAAGGGGATTGAATCTTCCTCCAGACATCCATCTCCCAGGAGTTATAGATGGAGGAGGCGGCAATGGATCAGTGATGACAACTAAGACCCCGCTGGGAACAGTCTTGCCTATGGCGGACCCCGGTTTTGCGTCGCAGGCCCAAGACCAGAATCAACCTGTTCATGATCCGCTGACATTTACTCTGGATCCTACAGATCAAGGCACTATGGACCAGGGCACCCTTCCTTTGGAGCAGGGAACTGTTCCTTTGGACCAGGGGACCATTCCTATGGATCAGGGGACTGTTCCTATGGACCAGGGCACTCTTCCTATGGACCAGGGGACTTTTCCTATGGACCAGGGCACTCCTCCTGTGGATGTTGACACTTTTTCGACCGATCCAGCCTCACATCCTTTGGACGAGGACCTGGAGTATAATTACCCAGCGTTGCAGAGGTGGCCCCCAGGTGCAGCTGCGGTGACAGGCCTGGACATTCCCTCCACCTACAGTGATTTGGGGGGAGCGAGCAGTAGAGGGATGCAGTTGCCGAACACGTCAGGGGGTGATGAGGGTGTAATTGCTGCCGATCATCAGGGAGGTGTAGTCCATCCACAAGGTGCTGAAGGGACTGCATGGTGTGCTGACGTGGGCTGCCTGATCGACAAGGTGGCATTGCGTGTTTCACGCATCGTCATCACATCTAACATTGTCCTAGGAGGAGCCAACCTACCTCCAGTAAACTATAATGCCACCATTGTGGGGAAGTGTGCCCCCGATCCATGTAAGATTGATGGAGAGGGCAGGGTGCAGTTGTTCCTGGTGGATATGGACGGTCAGCTCACGCTGAAGAACCTGGAGCTGACACGTGGCAAGTCCGTGACAGGCGGAGCCGTGTTTGTCGCCGGTGGGCACCCTGGTAGAGGAGGAAAACTTGTTACTGTTGACGTGCAGTTCACGAACAATGAGGCTTCTGTAAGTGTGGATGCCTTCAGTGTGTAATTGTAAATTGTTATTGATTTGCTGCTGTGCTAATTGTGTGGTGTTACCTGTTCCCCTCTTCCTTCATTTTCTTGGAGCTCAGGTGCCAATGGTGTCTTTTGATTGGAGGCATGCTATTATTGTCATTGCCATTGTTATGATAATCACCCAGGAGTTTACTTCTGTACAACATTTTTTTTTAAAAATTCGAACTTTTAAGCCAACAAATGTATGTAGAGAAAGGAATGAAACAAAACTCTGTACAAAGGGTCTCGCCGCACGGCACACGAAACGAAAACGAAACGAGTGCACCTGGCCACCAAAGGTGGCAAAATACACTCGTTACTATTTATAGCAAATCGATGAACCTGGCCATTTTCTGGGAGAAGATACATTCGTTTCGTTTTTCGTTTTGTGTGCCATGCGGCAACGCCCTAATGGTGTGGTGTTACCTGTTTCCCTCTTCCTTCATTTTCCTGGTGCTCAGGTGCTAACGGTGTCTTTTGATTGGAGGCATGCTGTTATTGTCATTGCCATTGTTATGATAATCAGCCAGGAGTTTACTTCTGTACAACATTAAAAAAACTTTTAAGCCAACAAATGTATGTAGAAAAAGGAATGAAACAAAACTCTGGTCGCGGCGCTATGTCATTGTCCATCAGTGTCATCGTCTTCTTTTTTTTTCCTTTCTTTCTCTCCGTCCCCCCCCCCCCCCCCCCCCCCCCCCCCCCCTCTTTCTTTTTTCTTTTTTTTTTTTTTTTCCTTTTTCTTTTTCCACCCTTGTTTTTTTTTTTTTTTTTTTTTTTTTTTTTTTTTAAGCCCCCCCCCCCCCCCCCCCCCACCAATGTCGTTAGGTGTCTGATTGCAACTGTTTTTCATCGAGGTTCATTATGTATTTGTAAGGACCTGCAAAAACACAGGCTGAGAACACTGCTGATTTCTGAGTGTTGCCGCTGGAATGTATGCCTTGCTGAGATTCCCTCGTTCTGCTGAGTTTTCTAAGTCTGTGTGTGTGCGTGCTTGCTGGTCCGTGTGCCTGTCTGAGTGTGTGTGTGGCCCGCAGGATAGTTGTTTGTTTGGAAGGCCCGAGGGGCCGGTGGGGCTTGCAGTGGGGAAAAGCACGCGAGTGGCCGAAGGGGTATCGCTTAGGCCACACTCAAGCAGCAGCAGGCCGAGTGGAAGAAGACAAAAAGTTAGTACCTTTAGGGGTAGAAGTCCAGTATGTGGAGTCGAGGGTCTGTAGTAGTAGATATCAGGTCTGCAATGATGTTTCCCTCCAAAAGGGAGGAGGTACTGGTTGCTTGGAGGCCGCGCAGCCTGGAAGTCACTGCCCAAGAGGCTGGTAGGCCGCTACATCTGCAGGAGGAGCGAGTTGCTCCTCCATATTTGCTGCGTGCAAGTTTGGGGCATCACACCGCTGGAGAGCCTGGAGGAGCGCTAGTGTGCAGGGGAGGGGGGGGGGGGGAAGAGGAAGGCCTGGGTGACCACCTCGGCTATGGGGGAAGACCCCGGGCGGGAGGAGGAAGAAGGAGACCAGGGAGGAGAGCGCCAGGTGTTCTTACCTGGCTATGGTGGGCTTGGTAGGCGCGGCAACTGAAAGACCCCTAGTGGATAGCGCAACATCAAGAAGGCTTCAAGGCAGAGTCAGGCATGGGGGCCTGAAGAGAGGAGGGCATAGCTACTTTCGTGTTGTCTTTTGAACATTGGGCAAGGCCTTTAGTACTCCGCCATAGCCCAGACCTGCGGGAGGTGGAGGAAGATGGAGGTCATGGCTATGGTGGACCTCACATTGTGTTGGCAGTAGAAGAGGGATTGGGACATTGATCTGGTTCAGCCATTCATCGTTATTATTACTATTTACTGTTTGAACCAGGGCTGGGCCGGCAACCGGCCGGTTGAGCTTCCCCGGTCCAACCGGTGCCGGACCAGGCCCAGGGGGGTGAATCGGGAAACCAGTTTTCAAAAAAAAAGGGCCAATTTTTTTTTTTTTTTTTTGCCCCATCGGATTTTGACCGCGCTCGTCGAGATCTGTCGAAATCTGCAAAGAAATTCGGAAAGTGTGATTTTTTTGGGGGGCCTTCCCAGGGGGAGGGGGGAAGTATTATTGGGATGTTCAGGGAGATATGGCTTTTGGGTGAAGGGGTCCAGTAACAAGTTCACTCATTCGACCCCCTGCGGCTCCAAACTTTCCATTTAGCATGGAAGGGTGTCGAAGATTATGTCTTTACACATTGACGCCCAGGAGGCTGAACGAACCATGTTGGGAAGAGGTCCTTGCCAAAACTTAGAGCTCTTCCAGAGTACAGCTCGACAGCGAAGACGTTATGGGTTCAGGTTACAGCTCATGCAGGCAGACCGTTTTTTTTTTTAATTTCTTCTTCTACATACAGTGGGTCATCATCCCGAAAGTATCTTGCCAAACCGTCCAGATACATGTAGCAAAACGAGGTCCATTCTTAGGCTTGGACCTCGGACAGTGTTACTCTGGCTTCACGAGCCAAAACCCGAACCCGTAACTTTTCTTCCAGAGCGTTGCAGAAGCATATAATCTCAGCAAAGCCAGAGCATCATCATATTGTGTACCTTCTGGCTCAGGTTGGACGTCTACCAGCCTGCCAATGGCATGAGGCTCGTGTTCCATGGCTCGTGTTCCATTGGACCACACGATGCCAAAGAGAAACAGGGTCTATTTAGCCCTGCATCTTATAAGAAGCGCGGGGCGGTTCTCCGCCACTGATCCATGAAGATCAGCGGTGGAGATGCTTCGCCCGTTTTTTTAAGATGTGGGGTCCGAGAGGCCCCTCTTTGTTTTCCAAAGAGGACAGCGGCCTCCTGGGGACCGGGCAATTGCGGGGATGCCCGTAGCTCCCCGGTACCCCTGCCCCAGCGTGATGGGCTGAGTTGGACCTGGGGTCTTCCGGGCCGGTCGACCGCCTGGTCCGGCCGGCAGGCTCCCGGTCGGCGGAGGGCCCCCCAATCAAACCGGGGACCAGCCCTGGTTTGAACAAGAGGGGGAGATAAGGAGGAGTTGATTGGCGAGAGAAGGGGGAATTGTCATTTGTCTTTTGCTGGTGTACATCTTCTTCTTCTTCTTCTTCTTTGGTCTCTCTCTCCTCTCAAGTTCATTCATTTCGCAATTGGACGGCATTGTACTTCCTTGTGTATTTGCACTTCGGAATTGGCAGGATCATAGCATTTGCACTTCGGAATTGGCAGGATCATAGCATTCGTATCAGAGCAGATTCTACTTGCTGGTGAGAATTGACTTTGCCGCCCCAAGCCTAAAATAAGTGGTTGAGGGGACCACTTAGGGTTAGGGCTGGTTGGTTGAGGGCAAGTGGGGCAGCGTGTGGTATGGGGAAGCTGTGCAAGCTGCCCCCACCTGTCTGGGATGTGTAGGGTCAACATATGATCCGACCAAGTTGCATGCGTGTAAGTTCGGGGTGGCAATGAGAAACTTCGTTAGACAATTCTGGAGAGGCGACAGTGGTAGGCACCCACACCTGGAATCTGGACTTAAGGGAGACAATTGGCGACTTTAGGAATTCCCTCAAGCAGGCGAGCTTGCGGGAAGTGGCTAATTCTGCATCGAAGGACTGCAAGTTGCCACTGGGTCTTGAACATCGACGGGGGATCCGCCGTTGTACTTTGGTGTGTAGAGTAGGCCCTCCTAGATGAGAGGACACTAGTGTAGAGATTGCTTATTGGATCAGGAGGACCGTATGAGAGGGGGGGGTGAGTTATGCTTCATCTCAGAGCTCAGGCGGCATAGGTAAGTGTCGTGCACCTAAGGGATGCCCACGTGTGTGTGCATGGTATTGTATGTCCTGTTGGTGTATTTCTGGGTCTCTCTTTTTACTACTCTGTGGTCTTGATTGTGTGCATGAGCTTGTGAACTGGTTTCTGACCTGATGGATGGAGGGATGGAGTATCTTGAATTGAGCGCCATGTCTTTCATTTCCAAACGGTTGTAGTTAGTAGGTTCTCTCTGAAGTCGAATTTTGTTTTTCAGTACGGTAGAGGCAGAAAGTAGGTCCATCTGGGACTCCTCTTGGTTGGGACCCGGTCACGGCCTATATGGGACCCATAGGTACCCTAGGTGGGACCAGGCCCAAGCAAGAGGGGACCCTTAAGCCCAAATCTGTTAACGTCATTCACATTCTCTGTCTTTCCTGGAACTCAAAGCTTATACTATTGGTTAGAGCACTTGCTGCCGAGGGGATCTCGGCTGAGATGTTCTGCAGATTTTAATACAGTCCTGCCGCTTGGCTCGCACCTTATACACCACTCAATTCTTCATTGTTTCATGTTGTTGCTCTTTGCTTTTGATTTGCTGTGTGTACACGGAAGTGAGCCAGATTGGGCAGGAGGGAATCTCACACTCGATCTGGCTAAGCTGAGCCATTGGATCAAGACTTTCATTCTGAATTATTTGTTTATTTATTTCCCTGTTCTTTGGTCCATATGTGTTGCTGCTCCAACTAGGAGTTTCACCTTCTCTTTCTTTGTGCTTTTCAATTTGTTTCTTTCACCGCGTTTATTTTTCGATGCCTGTGGAGACCCATGCACAAAAGAGAGACAGAGAGGGAAGAGAGAAATTGCTAAGTGTTGCTCTTGAGGGAGTGAGGAGAGGGAAGAGGAGTGTTCGCCCGAAGGTTGCAAGGAAGTGCGGAGATGTACTGATTCCTCGATCCTCTAAAATGGCGCAGCCATAGATGACTTCAGCTCAGCGGCAAGCCTTGCTGGATGCAGCTAGTGACGCAGAAAGCCCACATCTGCAAGCACTTTATGACAGTGCGTTGCAAGAGGAAGAAAGGAAGAAGATGTTGCTCATTGACTGAACAAAGAGCAGTGCGGGGAGCGGATGCAATCCATCTTCACCGCTATAGTTCAAGTGTGGAATCTTGAAGATCATACTGGTCGGTTCGCCCAAGTCTTTGCAGAAATGCAAAAACTTTGTGAAGAATTGACCAAGATAACCGGCAAGTACCGTGACTTGGAGGTAGAAGTTGCAGATCTGCAACAGGCCCAAGTGTCTAATCCCTGGTCCAGAAGCTGCTATTGGAACAACTCTTTGCCCCTCTTACTATTTCTTCTTCTCCTTCGAGTGTGGTCAGCAGCCTATTGGGACCTGCAGTAGGTGCAGACTCCGTTGTTGTTGCATCAAGCGACAACACAGGCAGTTTTGCAACTGCTGCGACCCCAAGATCAGAACTAGTAGATGCTGGTCCCAGCCATAACAGTCCCTACGTGGGCAGGAAAGCGGTTCAGATATCGTCCAAGTACGACAGCAAGGATGACATTCAGTACTGCAACAGCCCTATGTGATCCTACTTCAAGGTGTTGCAAACACTATTAGTGATCCAGTCCTTGATCATGGGGACAAATGTGGAACACGTCTTATGGGGCTTCTTAGAAGTCCAAGTCGCACGGGCTGGGTATACAAAGATTAATTTGACGGTGGCTTAAAGCCACGCCGGTTGCCACACCTGAAGAGACCCTAATCAAACAGTATAAATACCCTAATCAAACAGTATAAACACCAGCAAGAGTTCAGGAACAAGCTTGAGTATCTCAAGCGCAACAAGTGGTTGGGCCCCATGCAAAGCCTCCAATCGTTCGTTGGCAAACTGTTTG